CATGTTCTACTAAAGAGGTGACCGGTTTTTACATTTGGACATTTGGGAACACATATCATGTAGAATATGCGGTATAATGCGGTATATATGTTTATATAACATCAGCTATAATCAATCAAATTATTGTCCAATAAAGAATTTTTTTTTGAGTACTCTTTATAATAAGAATTTTTTTAATAAAGGAATTTAATTAAAGAAATTCTGCTGCCTGACTTCCACATTATTAATRCTGGTGGCAGGGTAAACGAGTTTTACTCGGGGAGAGTAATTTTGATGTCCCTTGTGTTCTTGCTTTTGACTTGAATTCTCAGCAATTACTAGAAGTTTTTTAAAAATAGTTTAAATAGTTTAAATAGTTTAAAAACTATACTTTAAGATCAAATTGATCGTTGCCAAACGTTCGAATTTTTAAATATATATATCCAACTATGCAATATTTGATAGATAATTCCATAAATTTATACTGTGAAGGCAATCAAGGATCTCGAGCTCCAATTGAAATTTTGGTCAATACTGTATTATTTGTTGATCAATTACCCCACCGACTTTATTTTATAATATTTTTATATGTTTATTAAAAAAACCCCGCAATTTCGAGGAAAAGGTGGTATTCTGTATTTGAAATGCAATCAAGGATGGACTGCCTGTGGTTTGTCTGAAATAAAGTTCGACTTTTGAAGATTTTGACTAGAACTGTCGTAAAGGACTTTTATTGTGCAGTGTTCTTTCATGCAGCATGCATTATGCTTTATGTAATGACCAACCAATAAATATCTTGTATCAACTCGAAATGGGAGAAAAGAGAAGCGGCCATGTTGGTAGCATTGACTTTTCCTTGAACAATTATGAATATCGACTTTGCAGACAGCATACAAAAATAATAATAATAATAACCTTTATTGAGGAAACCTTTTCATATAAATATGAGGCTAGGCATAGTTAGTCAGTCTAAATGTTCTAAGAGCAATTTCACGGCATTTTCGCCAAAAGAGAAACTCAGGAAAATTATGACTCTACTGGTCTATTCTTTAAATTGTTACAATTGTATTTGAAATAGTATGGTGTACGAGCTTTAGTCAGCATAGTAAACGTCCAGAGTTCCAAAAGACAKTTCATTGATATCTGGTGCTGGATCAGGTAATGGCTTGTTGTGGCCTTCTTTCCCAACCAACCAATATGTTGTCACCATACCTGGACACTACCAAGTAAACAAATCAGTATCAGATTACATTCATTTGAATCTCTACTGTTTTAATATATATTTTTTGCCATGTTCCTTGCTCTGCAACACTGAATCGATATTAGTAAAAATAATTACCTTTGCTTCTGCTTCTTCTCTTTCCTCGAAGAAGAAACCTTCAAGTTCAACAAGACGAAGATATGCTTCTCTGCTCACATGAATACGAAGGCCTGCATAAAGTAAATATATTAGTTAATTTTTTTTGCGCTTTGTCTTCTGTCTGTTGTATTGTTCTTACCAACTCCAGTGCTTTCCATTTTTATTGCAATGTTGACTGTATGTCCGAACAGACAATACCTTGGCATGGTAACACCAACGACACCAGCAACTACTGGACCTGAAAACATACAAATATTATAACAGTCATTATGCTTCTAAGAAGACTATTATGCTATAGATGGTGATGGCAGAAATACAGGCCGTTTTCTATGCTGGTGGGAACTAGCGTTAAACTAGTGTGAGCTGCGTCGGTGTTTCTAAAGAAACAGTTATGTGAAAAGATAAATTTAACACCGTAAAAAAGTATGTGGAAAAACTTACTGACGTTTCGGATGTTAATCCTTCGTCTTTACTCCGACGAAGGATTAACATCCGAAACGTCAGTAAGTTTTTCCACATACTTTTTTACGGTGTTAAATTTATCTTTTCACATAAACGTTTTCTATGCTGCCTCATTACAGTGACAATGGGCCGCTTCCGGCCAGTCTGCTACTAGTATTCACCTGTATGGATCCCAATGCGAAGTTGGAGCTGTTCTTGAGGACGGTGACGTATTTTAAACTGAGTCATACTACTTAACACGTCAAGGGCCATGCTACCTATCTCCCCAGTGTGCTTTTTACCATTCAATACTGGACAACCGCTGACCACCATGTACGCATCACCAATTGTTTCAACCTAAAGAAAACGTAAAATCGTTGCAGTGATATAAGGACGTAAATCGGTACATTTTATTAAAAAATACACTTATTACCTTGTAGACATCAAAATGCGAGATGATTTCATCAAATGTCACATAAAGATCATTCAAGAAATCTACAACCTATAAAAAATGATATAAAATAATAACAATAACTTAAGGATTCTAAAAAATGCTTCTTTGCCTAATTTTACTTCTCACCTCCAAGGGCTGACTGTTAGAACACAGCTTAGTAAAACCAACAATGTCACTAAAGAAAATGGTCACTTCTTCAAACTCTTCTGCTTGAACTGAGTTGTAAAGTTTCAGCTGCTCGGCTACTGGTCTACAAAGACAACTGACATTGTTAGTGAAAGTTATGATATACAATAGGGGTTATCAACTTACTGTGGTAAAAGTCGAAACAACAGACGATCAGTTTTTTCTTTTTCTTCATTCAACTGACGATTTCTTTCCTCGACAAGTTGTTCCAAGTGGTTGGAGTGTTTCTCCATCATTGACACCATGTTTTCTATGAAATTTGTGTTCCTTCAGGGGGAAAATTTATTAGAATTAGAATTATTGAATTCAGACCTTATTGCCAACAATGTTAAATAAATATCAAATCTTTGTAGCACAATTGTAAATTCATTTTTTGATAGGTCGATGGTCGTGGTAAATAAAAGTACAAACACAACAAGATTATTAGTTTTTTTCTGCGATTGTTAATAATCGTAGAATATTTTCTGTGGTATATAAAAATAAATTTATGATAGTTTCACTACTGTTGGTGCCYGTGATCTCATGTCAAAATGTTTTGTTTACCCGCTCGATTTCTCGTCTCGTGGATGAGCAACAATTTTGACGA